AATGTCGCAAATATATATAAATTGAGAAAACAACGAACAGTTAAAAACAGATAAATACTAATTAATAATAGAAAATCCACAGTTTAGAAAATGAAAAACAACTTTAAAAACTTAAATAGAACAGGAACAACTCATTTTAAAAAAACAGAAAGTAAAATTTAAGGAAATGAGAAGAAATATCGAATAACTAATTAATTTCATATAAAAAATAATTGAAAAGATTTTAATATCCTTATTGCTTTTTGATTTTAACACACAAATAATGTGTAAAGGAAATGTTACATTTTATTATCTTTTCATTTTTGATTTCATTCATTAGTGAAATTTATTTAATATTTATTTTATTTTATAATACTCGTGAAATGATGGAAATTTTGAAATAGTCCCCATCTAAATCTCGATGTAGTTACTCACGAAGTTTCATGTATTATTATAAGTTCTACTCAGAAACGTTGCGTGAATTTCTCTTCAGAAAAGAAGTGAAAAAATATGAAATTTAAAATATAGATAATTTGTTTATTTCGTTGTTCGCCTACAATATTACATGGTATTCTCCAGATTTCGAAGAATCAATTTCCGAAATTCATTACAGTAGAAATTCGATAAGTTAGCCTACGTGCGGTCTGAGTGTTGCGGACATTGCTGTACATTTTGTATTATCGCACGCTGATGTACGGTACGATTCCTATACTTTTATAATCAAGGCCGTCGAGAGCATATATTAATAACCTGGGATAGATTAGGCTCTTTTTGACTTTTATCGGATCCTTTTAGCCATTGTTATTTTGAACAATTGAAATAAGTAGAATGTTTCGTTATTAATAAAAAGAAATCTTAAAAATTTTATTTTCTGTTAGTAAAAATAACTGTATGTTTGAGTAAGAAACACTATGAGTCCCCAAGTTCTTAAGGCCCAGAGAAAAGTCTTCAGCTCCCTCGTCTCTACGACCTTGTTTATACAGTAATTGTTTAATGATTTTTTTAAATCTGTAACAGTTATTCCTCTCAATATTTATATTCTAACTTGTAGCCAAAATTAATAAAAACTATTCATCTTTAATTATTAATTTAAATCCTGATCGAATTATAAAACGGAAAATTCTAATAATAAAACTTCTAATTTAAATATATTCCGATGATGGAATTAGAAACATCGAGAAAACATTTAATAAAAATATTCTTTATTATTTACAGGGAGTTTATGAATTTGAAAAATTCTATGGAGTGAAAAGTCCGTAGGACTTCACAGAATTCCTAAGCACATTAACAAAAGACCAATAGAAAGACACGAGAATATTTAAACGGCCCATAGACCACAGCAAAGCCATCAACATTGACCAATTATCAATGAGATATATTAAGCGAAACTGAGTATCCACTAACCAGTTGAGCATTTTGTGTTATCTTCTAAGTAGTGATGAACAAACCGCGGCCCATGAGATCTTAACATGCGGCCCCAGGGCTTTGGCAACTTAATTTTATTTTCCTATTTTCTACCTCATGCCATTATGTAATCCTAATTAAGCTGATATTCGTGACGAAAAACATTCAAACTAAATTTGACCAGAAAAAAAAGAGAATAAACTATAGGCCTAAAGCCTATGAAGTTCAGTTGCGACCCTCATCCAGAAACAAATTGTTCATCACTGAATTAAAGGATTCTTCTTCCTATTCTATAATATGGAGGCTATATTAAAGAATTTTTTACACAGAATTACTCAAGTTTAAAAGCTGTCAATCTTATCATGCCATCTTTTATTAAGGTTTTTTTTTTTACTAATGTTATGCTTTCTAATAAACAATAATAAAGAGTTTTTAAAAATTAATAACATGTAACAAGTTTATTTTTTTGATATTCCATTATCAAATGATTTGCACCAATCATTTTGTTTAACAGATGAAATAACAAACAAAATGACGTGATTGTAATAACAAAGGTGTGGTTTAATAATTTTATCCAAGATTAATAGTTTATATAAGATTATCTTAATAGAAATGTTCGAGAATAAAATGGAAATAATGTAATATTAAGTTTCTAATGTATTTTTCGATATATTGATATTTCTTCTTCTAGTTTTCTTTTTTAATACGTTATGATTGTCAAAGAGCACGGATTACAACTGTAGATAACAGTAGTACACAGTAGTACAGTATATTACGATTATTAAAAATATGGTATTTTATTTATACTGTATATATTAAGCGTAATATTATTAAAGCTTCTAGACAAATCTTTAGAAGAAAAAATACAGAAATTTCTGAAGATCAAACGTAATTTTTAATGAAGTAATATTTAGAAGTTAATTTTTAAAATAAATTTTTAATTTATTTTAAAAAATTTAATTTAATTTAAAAAATTCTACTGAAATCCATACTAAGTTCATAAATATTAAATAATCAAAACTTAAGCAATAAATTATTAATGAAATGTTAGATATTAAAGTTTCAGAATTTTTAAAAATACATTTCATTTCGCCATATCTGTAATAATTGAATTAATTTTCTAAATGTCTATATGTAAAGTGTGCTAAAAATCTTATTGGACATTCTCTAATTTCATTGAAATGATTATTTGTGATTAATTACATTTTTAAATTATGAAATTAGAATAACTCAAATCAATTAAAAAAACCAAATAAGGTTAACTTTTCTATAATTTAATAAAAACACTTGCAACATTTAACAAAAACAATAATAAATAATCAACATAAATATTACAACAACGTAACAACTTCAAAAAGATCTCTCCACCACTATGGCCGATCCGAGTCTTTGTTGCAGATTCTGCAAAAATTTAATGCTGGAAATAGTCTTTGTTCTAAAAAGAATAATCATCACTGCCACTCACTTGATCACTCAATTCACTAACTTTCGAAAATCCTGAAAGAGAAACTGGAGAAGAAGACTTGGCATCTATTAATGGTTGATTTCTATCGTAAATACCGCCATGAATAACCAAAAATTTATCGCGAGGAATATTTTTCGGATCCAGTTCATCTCCTTTATTCAAATAAGAAGTATCTTCTAATTTCTTCCTTCTGTCAAAGTCTTCTAGATTGATTCTAGTTTTAGAAAATTTGAAAATTTTTGGATATTCTTCAGCTCTGGTTCTGCCTTGAAGTTGATTTAATTTAGTAATTATTTGTCCGACCGTTGTCCTGTGTGTTTTCTTTTTCTTCTGTCCCGGACGAGATACTCTTCTGTCGACTAATCTACCGCTAAATTCCTCCGGCGAAAAAGGGTTGGGAGATTGTTCAATGTAACCGGTATCGAGTGACTCGCTCATTTTAGGAGATGCCGGGAATTGGGGAAAATGGCTGAAGAGCGCTTCTATATGCTTGACATCATGAATGCCGTGAGCAGAAGCAGAATGCTGTCGATGATCTGGAACCACTCGAGATTCGTAGCTGCCAGGATTGATTATACTTATATGATGACTCTCTTCAGAGAACATGTCAGCCGATCTCACCCAAGGCATCGCCAACACGAAAATTACAATCGAAAACTAAAAATAAAAGATAAATAAGCATTTATAACAAACGCTTAATTTCAAATGGAAGAGTAAATTTTCACATGAATTATTTAGATAATAGTTTCGTTTTTATGTATTCTTTACAACAATTTACAGACACATTTAGCTCATGCCAATGGCATTTTAAACCTAATCGAAATGATTACAATGAAGCAGTTAACAATTTTAAGTATTCTAGACAATTTTCAGATTACTTACTTGTTACAGAGCAACTTTTTACATAAATACAGACAAATTTGTAAAGCATTTAACCAAAGTTATTTTTTATTATTAATGGATTAAAGTGAAATCATCGTATCTTACAGCAAAATAATAAACATCGATTTGGATATTTTTAAAAGCGATTTTTAAACACGGAGTGTTTCCTCAGTAAAAAATCCATCATTATTATTTCAATAGAAAACAAAACTAGTAAATGTTTCTAATACAGATAATTAATTATCGTTAGTAAGACGATAAATAAGTTATTTCCTGCAATAAATGATATAAAGCTGTAACAAATGCAGCAAAAATACAAAAGGTAGTAAATAACATAACGATTATCTTAAATAAGCTATTAAGTATTTGACATAAATACTGCGCTTTGACAGGACAATTAATCATTCGAAAAATACACAACCTTAAACAACTAACCTAATCTATTGCGTAAAAGTTAATTCAAGAAAAAAAAACCACAATAAAAAAAATTCCGACCTTGACATAACGGAACGCCACACCACAGTAAAATATACACTCGAGCATTCATAACTCATAAGCCTGGGATGTCGGAAACTTCAAATCAAAACATGGTGAGTAGATTATAAATAAGCGGATGAACAATTCGGTTAAGCACCCGATTATCGCAAATATTCTTACATTAATATTTGTAAGCATCGAAGTATCTTTGCTATTATTATTATTATCATTACGATCATCATTATCAACGCCAAGAAAGTTATTTAAAATAGTACAGTTTAGAAAATACAAAAATAATTAAAAAAGCTTGTTGTTATAATAATAATAATAATAATAATAATAATAAAATAGAAGATTCATCGATAGTCTAGGAAATAGAAAAAGAAACGACCTTGACACGGGCAACAATCTTTTGTTGTGACTTTGGAAGAAAATCGTTGATCTCATTTTGAAACGGAGTCGAGGACGTGTGACTGTTATGGATAGAAAAATAGAAAATATTTACGGAATCGAATTACTCTACCGCATTCAACTCTTCCGAACCACTAGAAACAAAACATTCGCATCCATTCTATACACCTGTATTTAATGTAACTTATCTATGATCCATCAAAAAACTATGAAGTGTACACCAAATTCGATTTAAAAAACTTAAAATCTTTTAAATATTAAAACTTCCTTAATGCAATATAATAAAGCACACAGTCATACGCATTCTAATCAATAAAATAATAATGCAAATGTTTTAAAAATATAAGAAAGATTATTAGAAAGAAACAAGCAATGGACTTACCATTTTTGCTAGTTTATCCTCAGATACTCTTTCCTTAATGTTTAAGCTGTTAATAAAATTCTCCGGCGATTATTAATACTTTTATTAGAGTGGTCGGGTCCCGCCCACAGATGCGATGACTGAAAACGAAAGTTGGTCAATGGTAAAGTTGGCAAATACACCGAGTGTCGAAGCATCTGATTGGATATCGTGACGCGTTCAATAAAACAACGGTAGAAACGGTATTGGCGTCGAGAGGTGAAAGTTTTGTAGAGCGTAACCTCGGTGTAAGCTAACCGAGCGTGCACGTCGCATATTGTTCTTTTATAATATATCAAAAATGTCGCATAACACATCATAGCTCCAAAAGTGGATTTAGAAAAAAAGATGATATTACTTTTTATGTTTAAACAATTATTTCCACGTAAGAAGATCCGTATTAAATCTTCCCCCTTCTTTATAATAAGCAACCATGCGTAGAAACGCTTACATTACTTAAAAAACTATCAAAATAATTTTTTGTGAATAAATAGTTACGCCGTCAGATTTAGTTTTATACGATTTTTTTCCTTGGTTTTTTAACGCTTTTGATTTAATAGTCCATATCACGCGTATTCAATAACAGATTTATAGCGTATTCAAGCTATTCACGAGAATTAAAATGGATATTCACGATGCATTAATGCGAATAAAAAATGTGTATTATCGAAGAGAAAAGATTGGGATAGGCTAATTAATAGTGAAAAAAAACAAAAAAACATTTTGACATGGAAGAAGTATCGAGCTTAAATCATGTTAAAAACCGCTTTAATAGTTATCTATAAAATTAAGTTATTGGGTCGAAAAGGGACTTTACTTCAATTACTAAATCAGAACAAAATACAATATAAAATGGGTTAAGGGGAGCTACCTTGTGCTTATTTTAAATCGATTTATCACATTTGGTTATAATTGTAATTAAATTAAACTCTGGAGTTGTATTTAACAACGTTTTACTAATTTTTAATTACCTTATCAGCACAAAATATTATTAGTATGAGTCATTTTTCTCATATTTATATTACGAAACGGATAATTGAAAATGTTTCAATCCAGTGGTTTTATGTTTTCTGTTTTGGTGATAATTGATTTCTTCAAGATAATCCTTCGGTGACATCACGTACACTTGTTAAATTCATTGGCTGTTTATTCCCCGGTTGAACTTCCCATCTTAGGAACAATTTAATGCTCATTAGTTTTTCCTAAAATAAATTTGTTCGTATATCTATAAATACAGTTCACGTGTAAAACGATCTTTATAATTTTACGCATCGTTAATCGATTGGTTAATCCACGGATATTTATTATTTTTAAGATTATCCACATAAATGTCAGTTAAAAATGGCAACGTCGTAAAATTTTCGTTAAAATAGTTACGTAAAAAAAAATACGTTTTAAAAATGCAAATGGAGTGGAAAACTAGAGTTAACGTTTAAAAGGATTTATAAGAAAGAGCCCAAAGTAAAAATATGCTGAAAACTATATTTAATCAGACATAACAAAACTTTACAACAATAGCAAATTTTTAAACCAGATATTGCTTTTAACGGTTGTTAAAGCCGTGAAATTAAAAATGTTTTATTGTAGTACGAAACTCTACGGTAATTAATCTAGTACAGTATCTATAACAATGTCGTAAATATTTAATTATTAATTTAAAATATTGTTTAGTAGTTATTTGTGAATGATTGACTAAATATTACTTCCGTCATGCTATATGACCTAATACTGACATGTCAAGGTATAAACAAAACCAGTACACGTAAACCGAGGTTACGCGTCTTCAATGCCGAATATTACTCGATATAATATTAAGTTACTAATAAGTTATTAAACTTAAAGGATTTAATTAACTACATCGTTTGATATTTTCGCAGTTCTCTTAATCTCTCTACGACCTTTAATTGGAGTTTTTTTCCCTTCTTTTTTTTCATAGCTTCTACTAAAGCGCCTTTACTTATATGGGTGTAACTAGTTTTTAGTGTTACTTTTTAAAAAATCGATATTATCATACGAGTGAGTCCCGGAACGGAATTTTTCCTTTTAGCGTTCGTCCTTCCATAAAAACTTCCAGCTGTTTTTATTTATTTTTATTTTTTTCTCGAATCTAATAGTCTGTATCTTATCTCGCATCGCTCAAATTCGAAATCGCTATAATCTATAATGTAATTTTATCAATTTTATTAACGAAATAAATAATTTTCTCTGCAATTTCATTAAATTTTAAATGTGGCCTTTGTATTTAATCTAAATGCCTATATAAGAAAGGTGTTACGAACCGTAAAAGGTTAGTTTTATTTAAAATAGAAAACTTTAATTAGAACGTTAGACTTATTTGTGGGAGGGTTTCTTTTGCAATGTTTTCCTAAATCAAAACCCGAAGTTTAAAGATTTTACAATGAAAATAAACATTATAATGATGCAATTTGTTATAACTATTTCCTAATAGTAAGTCATGGTCTTCTGTTTTCCTGGTGTGCCAACTGGCCTGGCCTCCAATTTCCAGTTTTACAAAAATCCCAGTTTTAACTTTTTACCATACATAATCTATAATCTATCAATACAATTATATATATATATATATATATATATATTATTATAAATACGCTTAATTCTCTTCTGCATATCTTTATTTAGAGAAAACTTCATTAGATGGCATTACTGCTTCTAATTAAAACTCTTAATGGGTTATTTCTGTAGAAGATGAGCCGATTTACTTTAGCTGCATTCCAATCGATTGTCCTATTTATGTGAAAAGAATCAAAAAATAAAAAAAGAAACTTAAAACAAAGTTGTCTTTAATATAAATAGAGGAAAAAAAGGTGTGAAAATAGAATAAATCTATCGACTGGTTTCAGTTTTCCAGACAACCCTATACTCGTATCGATCACAGCTCTATACACAAACGTTTTTCGTAATGTTAAATTAGAAAAAACTTAATCCGGAACTTGAATTTTACTTTCATGGCCTTCATCTAGAGAAAAGATATGCATGAGCGATGGTTCGGTTGATCCATTATCTTATAAATTCACTTCGCATTCATTTCTCGAAAAATATTTTCAACAAAAACATTACATTCAATTGAGGATGGCGTTAGATTCTAAGAGTCCTTTTTATTTCTAGTTTATAACGAATTCTTTCTTACAGATTCTTTATTCCTATTTAAAAAAAAGTTCTATTCTCAAAACAAAGATAAAGATTCGATTTTATTTGTTTTTAAGTTTCTAGTAGCTTCGTTTATTGGGAATTAGTCTTCCCCGTGATCTAATATTAACACAACAGTAAAACGTCACACTCCCTTATTATCTAACTTCTTTTTTTAGAAAATTGCGCCATCTGATGGTATACAGAATAAACTAAAAAAAAAAAATTGTTAAAGCATAAAAATTGCCATAAACCTTAATTAAAAAAGTAAATAATTTAAATAATTTTGACCATTTAAACTATCTTCGTAACTAAACAATTAACCAATTCGTTTTGTAGATGGCGCTATCTATTAATTACGTCAAACCGAAAAATTCAAAATATGGCATAGCTATGCAGAAAACGAAATAATTATAAACACCTTTATCTATTGATAAATCGCGAAAGGTCACTTTTAAAAAATTCGTTAACATTTATTTTTTCTTTCTTTATTTATTTACTTTTTTTAAAAAAAAAGAGAGTTCTGTGCAGAACAGAATATTAACTCGGTCGAATCATAAACAAAAGTTGGACGTACACAGTTCAGATAAAAGTCTAAATTTTAAGCTTTAAACCGTCTTACAAACAAGATATCCTATCTGATAAGTGTAAATAGAAGTTTCATTTTATTAATCTTCAGTAAATCGATATGGTCTTTTTAAATATTATTTCTATTATCTAGTTTTAAAGACCGGATTGGTTTTTAAAAAAGAAATAAAATAAACCGATGTCACGATCGTGTTTTTTAAAGTATTTTATTTTGTTTTTTATTATATAAATCACGTTACTTTGTTTGCATTTTACGCATCATTATCTGCAAACTGAAATATTTTTCTTTGAAATTTTAAAAACGCCAAAAAATAGCCCAGTTTATATCTCTGTTTGTTTACAAATGACGTCAGTGCAAACAAGACTAACGCTGAAATTTTATCAAATACAGTTAGATAATATATGTTTGACAAGATAAAAAAAAAGAGGTTTTTAACTATAAGCTGATGAATTCCATAAAGTTCGGGCCGCGCGGCGTAACCCGGAACGGTTAATGTAAACAAAAGTCTAAACTGTGAATAAAAATAAGGAATGAATATATTATGTATATTTATATACGGGAAAAAATTGAAATATCGAGAAAGTTGGACAAAAATCTGACGGAACGTTTACTTTAGTAAAAATTAATAGAAATTTCTCATAAAATAAAATAAAAAAATTGTCAACCGAATAAACAGGGTGAATGACATCCGGGATCGGAACCGTGACGTGTCGATGACGTGTAGTGACGTCAGCAGGCTCCTCCTCCCGACAAGTTGCTGCGAAAATTTCCAATCCATGTGGCAATAGGGACGTATTGGTATACAAACCGCGTGTTGGATAAGTGTTCGAACCCGAAAAATCGTTTGGGATAATCGTCTGCAAAGATATAATCGCAGTCGAGGGTGGACCAGTGTTCGATTTCGATTTAGACCGAAGATCATCTGCGTGCTGGGTAAGTTGTGTTTCAGATGTCAATGACCTTGCCCCGTAGTACAGTACATGAATGAAAAGTTTGTTGTGTAATGCCGAATTGTTTCCATATTGTTGTCATTTTACCTACTCGTTACGTTGGTTAAGTTGACATTTAGAAATAAGCTATTTTTTGGCCCCATTCGAAATTCTGGCACACGCATCGTTGACCTGCACCTGTATACGTTCCAGCTCGTCTTTTAGCAGGACGGGTGGCATGCATTAACGACCATTTCTCCCAACGTAGGGCTGGAACCCAATTTTCTCTTTACGGACGCCAAAATTGGACGATTTGGCCCAAAGTCGGACGGTCCGATAAACACCTTAAAAGGAGACGAATTGCAGTTTAGTTTTGTACAGAGGTGGAGTGTAAATAAATCACGTGATATTTTATGATGACGAAATTACCGAGTTTTCCGAACGGATCGCAGTCCAAAGCCTTCGTCTAGGCTGGAGGACGAGCCGTTCACTCGGAGGTCATTGAACTCGCACGACCGCCAGCTTAGGTTTCGTTGCCGCTCGGGACAACAGTCGAAACACCATTTTTGCGTTTCTGACGCCAACCCGGTTTATCCGTTTTTAACCGCGCCCCCAACTTCTCTACCGGCACTCGTTTCCGAGATAAGTAAAGTGAGAAGTTTAGGTCGCGACCCCCCATTTGCCACTTCGCCTCCTCCCCGGAGGTTCCTTTTTCACCGAATTTCAAAGAGGGGAAGGAGCGGAGGACGAGTAGAAGGCCTCCCGGCACGACTACTTCCGGGTGTGTGTATGTGTATGTAGCCATGGCGTTTTCCACCTTTCTGCAGGC